ACTTTTAAGACTCAGGATATTTATCAAAATGAAGCAAAGATTCTAAACCTTTTGTTTAAATAAGTGATTCAACAGACTCGGAGTTATTAGCCTTCAAGCATGTGAAGGAAGAAGGCAGCACCAGTAATTCTCCTTTTGTAAAACAAAACTAAAACTAAAACCTCACACATACTTACGTCTTTTAGAAACAGAGATGTATAATATATATTAAAATCAGCAAAGTCATTTAATAAGAAAACCAAAATTACAAACTTTTCACAGTTTTAAAGTCTATTTTCATAGAATGCAACAGTCTCTGAGGTCCAGGTGTTCTCAAGATTGCTTTTAAAAAATAATATTTTCACATTTGCTACCCTGTACTGCATTTAAGACACACAATTCAATGCACACGAAAAGGAGATGTTTGTAAGAATAGTACTTGTGCATTAGTAAGTACAGTATTGTTTCATGAATGAATGTGTTTATCAGAATCTGCTGCACTTCATACTTTTTGTAAAGGCACATGTATACAACATGTTTCTATGAAAAAAAAATATTTTCAGGAATAAAATTTTTGGAGTAGAATAATACCAGCTTTTTGGTGGCTGTAGGGAAAGAGGGAGCTATTTTCTTTTTATTTTGCTGATGTTACTTTTACCCATGTTAACAGAGTGGTCTGTGGTTTCATTAATTAGCACTAGCTTGAGGGGCACCTGGGTGGCTCAGTCGGTTCAGCATCTGCCTTCGGCTCAGGTCATGATCCCAGAGTCCTGGGATCGAACCCCGCATCAGGCTCCCTGCTCAGCAGGGAGTCCATTTCTCCCTCTCCCTCTGTTCCTCCCCCCGCTCCTTCTCTCTTTCTCTCTCTCCCCTTCTCTCTCTCAAATAAATAAATACATCTTTAAAAAAATTAACACTAGCTTGAAAAGCTCAATAATTACCATTTGCTATCACATTTGGTGAAGAGTCTGTTCAAAACTTTGCCCATTTGCAGCTGGGAATGGGGGTGGAGAAAAATGGTTTGACTTCTTATTATTGATTTCTAAAGTTCTTTTTTTTTATATTTAAAGTTCTTTATATATTAATATAGATAAAAGTTCTTTGTTGGATATATGTTTTGCAATTATTTTTCTCAGTCCCTGGCTTGCCTTTTCATTTTATAACAATGTATCTTGAAGAGCAAATGTTTAAAATTTTCATGAACTCCAATTTAATGACTTCTTTTCTTTTAAACCTCCACTTTTTGGTGTTCTATTTAAGAAAGCTTTGCCAATCCCAAGGTCACTTAAGATTTCCTCTTATGCTTTCTTTGAGAAATTCAATAGTTTAAATTAGGTTTATAATGCACATTGAGTTAAGTTTTGTATGTGACATGAAGGAAGTGTCAAGGTTTTTTTGTTGTTTTGGTTTTTTTGTTGTTTCGGTCTTTTTGTAAATAGCTATCCAGTTAGTTGTTCCACTTACTTTTGTTGAAAAAATTATCTTTTCCCTCATTTAGGGAAAAGCTGTCATTTCATCTTGGCACTTTTGTTTAAAATCCATTGACTGTATATATTCTGATCGGGGCTCTTTCTTCTGTTCTCTTGATCTAAATATATTTTTGCTCCAATACCATCAATACCTGATTCCTGCAGGTTTGTAATAAGCCTTGAAATCAGATATTGTATATCTTCCAACTTAGTTCTTCCTTTTGAAAGTTGCTCTACCTTTTCTAGGTCCATTGCATTTCCAAGTAATTTTTGAACTAGCTTGCCAGTTGTACAAAAAAATCCTATTAGGATTTGATCTCCTGATCAAATCCACTGGATCTATCAGTTTGGTAAGAGTTGACTTCTTAGCAATACTGAATCTTCAAATCCATGAACATGGTATGTCTCTCCATTTATTTCTTTAGTTCCTCCCAGCAGGGTTTTGTAGTTTTCAATGTACAGGTCTTGTACATTTTTGTCAAATTTATCCCTAAGTATTTCATATTTTTTTATGCTACTGTAAATGGTATTTTAAAAACTAAGTATGTAAAATAATGGTCAGCATCATTAGCCATTGGAAAATGCAAATTAAAGCCTTAATTAGATACCACTACAGCAAGATTTCTCAACCTCACATTATTGACATCCTGGGCCTCATAATTCTGTGGTCAGGGACTGTCCTGTGCATTGTAGCATATTTAGCTGTATCCCTGGCCTCCACCCACCAGATGTGAAGGTCACTCTCCCTCTCCCTGAAATGTAATAGTCAACAATGTCTCAAGACATTGCCAAATGTTCCTGGGGAGGTAAAATTGTCCCTGGCTGAGGACTACTATGCTACACAACCCTGGAATGGCTAAAATAAAGAATACTGACCACACCAAGAGTAGGCAAGGACATGGAGTAATTGCAACTCTCACACAGTGCCAGTGAGAATGCAAAAAGTTTCCGAGGACTTTGGAAAACTGTGTGGCAGTTTCTTAAGAAGTTAAGTCTAAACCCACCATGTGTTCCAGCCATTCTACCAGAAGCATTTACAAAGAGAAATGAAAGCCCATGTCCAGAGACATGGCCATGAATATTTATAGCAGCTTTATTGGTAATCACCAGAAACTGGAAATAAATCGAATGTCTACCCACAGGTGGATGGATTAATACACCATGCTGTGTGTACACCAAGGAATATTACACAGCCATAAACAGCCATAGACTATTCATACAGACAACAACATGGATTACTATCAGAATAATTACACTGAGTGAAAGAAGTCAGAGCAAGGAAGAATACATATTCTACAATTCTATTTATATCACATTCTAGGGAATGGAATAAACCATCGTTATGGTGCAGATCAGTGATTGTCTGTGGACAGAGGAGAGAAGGGGGCATAGGTTAGCAAAGATCAGGAGAGTAGACTTTGGGGTGTGATGGCTGTGCTACTTACCCTAATTATGATTTTGGATTTCATGTGGATGTTCGTATGTCAAAACTCATCACATGGTACACTTTATATATATATGCAGGGTTTTGTATGTCAGGCATACCTCCATAGAGCTGTTTAAAAATTACAATACAGAAAAGCAATTGGTAGGAAGAACATTCTAATAAATAAAGGCTAGGCAATCGTTTGTATTTACAAGGGATACTCATGACACTGACAAAAATCAATGGAATTCCTGTATGTCATCCAATTGTGAAAAAAATAACAATAATCAGAGCTCATTCTCCCTTTTGCTTTGAGAAATGTAACCCTCCCCTCCCTGGCAATTCCCCTGATGGCCCACTATTTTGCCTTTAGGCAAGGATGGTTGGTCAATTATAGATAACACTTAATTTTAAATTAGAAAATTTGGGAAAGTGTTTATCTTCCTTTTGGGTTAGCATTCAGTGATTTTTAAATGACATAAAACCACATCAGTGAAAACTAGGAAGGAAAAATTAACTTCTTTTCATAGCCTAAAGACTCAATGAGTTATAGATCTTTCCTTCGGGAAGGTCTGGCCTTTTATAAATCTTTGGAATGAAAGGAGATACCTGAATTTTGGCCATTTATTAATAGTAAATTTCTGGTGAAAACCTGTGATCACAGAAATTTTATAGATTCAGAATGAAAAAAACCAATGATTTGCCCTGCTTAAAAATCAGGGAAATTCTTACCATTTTTTAACCAAATTATTCATACCATTACTAAGGATAAATCTAGAAGTTAGTTTATCACTGTATGATTTCTCCCATATTCAATACCTGTATATGAATTGTAAGACAACTTTAGCAGATAATTGGTAAATTGACATTGAGAATATATCTCTTCACTGTATTATTATTTTTTAAAAGTTTTATAAGGCGGAGAGGGGTGGGGGGAAGAGAAGACAGAAGGACAGGGAGAGAGAGGATCTCAAGCAGAGTCCCTGCTGAGTGTGGAGCCTGATGTGGGACTTGATCCCATGACCCTGAGATCACGACCTGAACTGAAGCCAAGAGTCAGACGCTAAACCAGCTGAGCCACCCAGGCGCCCCTCTTCACTGTATTATTAATTACTTTAACCAAGCGTGTTGACTTTTTCATCATATCGTTCAAGGTCATTATTATTCCATTTAAGCTGTCTTTCTGATTTCTTCCTATCACTTTGGGTGTCAATTCAGTCAGAATGCCAGCAGCACGACTTGCAAGAACACCACATTTTAATTTTAAAAACAAGAAAAGAAAAAAGGGGGAGGGAGATGTAGGGAAACAGATGTACACAGATACAATTTTCTGGCAGAGAACATTCAAAACAATTATTTAAGAGGCATAATTCCTTTTCAATATGAGATATTGATATATTTATAATGATGGTTTCAGAGTTTTCAGGTGTGTGGTACCTTAAAATGTTCAATAATTGTGTACCATAGCAAGTTGGCCTCTGTAGAAAGAAAAAATTTGATGGTCCTTTGTGTCTCTTTTAGATCTATCAGCCAGCAGTATTGTGCTTGATTTGCACTAACAAGCCATCCTCCATATAATATTAATGCAGTATTAATAACATTCTTTGGTCTAACGTTGCTTTGTTTTCCCCCAGCCCCTGCTCATGGCTACAATTTTCTGAGATGGAAAATTTATTAGCAACTAAAATGTGAAATCTGTTCTGGTCCAAAGAAATAAGTGAATGTGTAAGAGGCTTGTATTTGGCAAACAGCCTGCATACAAGCTATGCTAAAGCCAAGTCGAGATGATTAGCACTTTACCCTCCTTTATCAGACCATGGGGTCTTGTATCTGATCTCTGTTTGTAGAGAAGAACCTTATGCCTCTCATATGTGTAGAAAACTGTTTTTCTGCCGTGGGTAGCAGGTGCAGGCTAACCTTGCCCTGTGCATCCCCCTTTCCCCACCCTTCGCCTTGTTCTCACTGATGGTCCCAGTATGTGCCACTGGGAACATACCAGGTAAGTGACACGCTGAGACAGTAGGTTATCCAGAGTCAGGATCCTGTCACCTGACTTGACCGGTGACTACAGTGTTGCTGAGAGAGACAAAGAGGAGCAGCCTTTATAGTTGGTTCTCTCTTTGCAGAAGGATATCTTAAAATCGGATCTCATTATCTGCTCGGGGGCTGCTGTTCTGTCATTTGCAGTCAGTGCCAGCACCGTGTTCCTGTCCTTGCGAGTACGTATCCTTTCGACTTTATACTCTCCCCACCTCCTTAGTTTCCCTAATAACAGAGCCCGTTGTGGAGTTCCAGGGTACTGGCAGGATAATGGAGCCAGGGGAGGAAAACAAAACTCCAGCTGAGAGGTTTAAGGAGCATATCTATGTGCTGTGAAGGGTTATGTCCAAGATGAAACTTGGTGCACATGGCAGATTGGGTTCGAGTGCTTTACCCTTTGTCTTCCTGCACCTGGGGAGTGGTGTTGTTGGCTAGAGCAACAACACACATCCTGAGACCCGGGGGTAGTAAGACAGGCTGATGGCACACTGTGGGGAGCAGAGACTGGAGGCATTACCATGTCAGGAGTCAGACAGAGGTCCCGGAGCCAAAAGGAGCTTTGGAACTTAATTTCCAGTTAGAAAAACAAACGTGGAGAGCTCTAGATGGGATTTCTGGCTTGAAGTTTCAACAGTTACTGTCTCCTTATAAAAGTATTATATGCTTAGGCATTCCTTCCAACAAAGGAAAGTCTATTAGTTACATTTGTTATTCTCGACCTCTTCTTTTAAAAAACAATGGCAACAAAGCCAAAGGGCAGAGTTCCCTTGGCCTTTGACTTCCTGGGGCCAGCTCTCTACCCCCCACTTAGTGGCTCGCAACCCAGGTGGGTTTCGTGTGGAAGAAACGTTCAGAAGCCTGTAACAAGAACTGGGGTTGCCTCTCTGTTCTGCTAGAGGGAAGAGGGGAAGGGCAGTGTTGTTATGGATTATTCATGGGCATCCCTCCCCTCTCCTGCGAGGCTAAACAATGAGATTTGCCCTCTTGTATCACAGCCGTTTCTCAGTGTTGTGCTGTTTGCCCTGGCTGGCTCGGTGGGATTTGTGACCCATTATATGCTCCCTCAGCTCCGCAAGCACCATCCATGGATGTGGATTTCACACCCTGTTCTTAAAAACAGAGAGTATCAGCAACGGGAAGTGAGAGGTCAGTAATATATCCCTCGTTAAAAAAAAACAATGATGCAGTGGTAGGCATCCTTTCCACCAGAGGGTGTACACAACCAATGTGAATGTTTGAATGCGGTAGAACTATACACTCAAGAATGGTTACAATGGTAGATGTTACATTATATCTATTTTACCACAATTAACAGAAAGGGGGGAGTGTGTACCTTGGAGTATGCAGTATTGTTCCAGAACAAGAAAGTTAAAGTGGAGAGAATTAGAACTGTGTTTTATAAAAATAGTAATTGGTTATTTAGTATTGGGGAATATGAATTTAGATCATTCAGTCCTGAAATTTATGCTGCTCCAGCTTAAGCTGACTGGGGACCAGGAAGAAGACTTCACGGCCCTCCCATCCTCCACAAAGTGTTTTTTTGGGGGGCGGGTGCTGGGCAGGGATGTAGCAGAAACTGCTGAACCTTTAGGACCTCTGAACCCTTGAACTTTGCTTCATGGCTTTGCTCACTTAGACCTAAACCCATGCTTGATTGCCTTAGGAGTTCTCGGGGCTATTTTTGGTCACGATCATGTCATAGCCTGGTAATCCAGACAGTGTCAGAACTTCCAGATAAGAAACCTCAGGAATTTCTCTGGTAGCTCTTCCCTTGCTCTGTGATCCAGCAGATGGCAGAAGGATTGATTTATCCCCATTTTCAGACACGTTGAAGTCATCGGTCACAGTTTATAGCTATAGTTTATAACTAGCTAGTGTGGGTCATAACTTTATAGACCATTGTAACCTCTCTGTTGTAGAGGGAGACAGTCAGTTGTCACCTGCCAGGCACAAGGGTATGTGAGTGGCGCCAAGATTTGCTGACTTGCAGGAATGTACTGGACTCACCAGGTTGGTCAGCAGTAACTTCAGTATATTAGTGTGACAAAGGGAAAAGGGGGCAAAATAATTTAAAAATGAAGAAGCGAAAAGAATCACTTAAAACACTGTCAGGAGCATTTTGTCAAGGAACATCTCTGGGTGGGTATGAGGAGCTGCCTTAATTTAAAACAGCCAACACAGGAAAATTATAGATTGTTTACTGGAGAAATATGGCATCATGGGTCCGCTGCCCAGATAGGGTTTAGAAGGTGGAGAGGGGTCACCCTGACCGCTCTGCCCTCAGAGACTGGCTTCTCATCTGCAACACCAGCAGCTAGCTTAAGGGTCAAATTTAATATATTTGTGCTTTATATATATATATGTAATATATATTATATTAATATGTATATATTTTAATTAATTTAATTAATATATATATTATATATGTGTGTATATATATATTAAATGCCCTGTTCAATTTCAGGTGCTACTTCAATGCAAATTATTATCAGTATTACAAAACCTGAAAGAAGACGGGCTCAGAGTGGGTGCAATGTGTAATGGTTAGCTCATGTTACAGCTCACTTGTGGAAAGAGGTGCATCCCAGATGGGTGCTTGCTGGTGGATAGGTAGGGCAACCAGAGGAAGCCGGTTTCTACGGAGCTTCTGCAAGTGTTAAGGTCACATCCCCCTTTCATTTTCTAAATCTGTAGGAAGAACTAAGTTTTGGCAAAATTACTGGAGTATTTGGGGCTTTAGTATTTTGGTGTCATTGATTTTGAGTGGAGATTTGAAGTATGAGGCTTTGCCTCAGGAGCCTGCATATCTATATCCATATCAGCTGTACCTCGATCTCTACTTAGATATTTGGATGCCCTGGGATGAGCACAGAGAACTTGTCAAATTGAGAGAAAGAAAAATATGAGAGATGAAGCTCAGGCCAAGCTTACTGTGGCAGTTCAGAGTGTGGAATTCAGCAGTGAAAATATTGAATTCAGCATTCAGTAGTTTAGTTCAAAGCCTGTTTGTTTTGGTTTTGGTTTTTTGTTTGTTTGATTTTGTTAGTGTGGTTGTTTTCTTCCCTGAATCTAGCGGAGCCCAGTTTAAAATAGAATCATTTAGATATTTTAAACCTGCATGACCTTTTCAGTACACGATTGAAGTCCAGGTGAGTGTGAGTGTGTTTGTATGTTGATGGCTCCTCTTTGAGGGACGAGTGACCAGGCGGTGCTGGGTCTCCATCCCATACACTGGGCTGGGAGCTCTCGCCTGTTAGCACGGGCTCAAGCCCAGACTCTGTGGGTGTTTCTCCCTTACCTGCATTAGCTGTTCATAAGCCACTTGAAATCTAGCCAAGAGTAATAGATTTGACAAATTAGGCATATAACGAAGAACAGATTGCATTTCAAAATTGTGTGCATTAGAAGGAGAATCCAAATATTTAAAATATGTTGGTATGAACTCATTGAAAAGCCATTACTCATTTCAGTATCATCTGGTCCTGAGTTTCCTTCCTCCTCTTCCTGGCCTTCCGCCTTCTAGATAGTTCACTCTTTATTTCTTTTACTCCCAAGAAAACACACACAGGAAATTCAGACCAATCGTATACTTTTTAACGTGAAACTGTGCTCAAATCTCCTTTCTCATAGGATCAAAGAATATTATAACTGGAAAAGAAGAGAGAGCAGAGCAGGGCGAGTGGGTCTGTGGCATAGCAGGAGAATGCCCTAATCCCATGGCAGACATTGCTAACTGGGAACAATCCGAAAACTGGGCCCAGGGCAGACATTGAATTGGCGTGTGAGATGAGGCATATGTGCCGTCCCTGTCTTAGAGTTTATAGAATGCCATCCCACCCTTCACGTAGGAGGAAACAGAAGCCTACAGAAGTCAAGGCACATAACTTCAGTCCCAGCAAGTCTGTGGCCAGTGAGTGAGCAGAACCCAGGGTATCTTCCTCCAGTCCAGTGCTCTTTCTGCCACTCGCTCTGCTATTGGGCTAGCGGGCCACTCGGGTGTAGTCTGGATGCGGCTCTTAGACAGCATGGTGCCACAGTCATTGTTACCCAGAAGGGCCCCATCACTGCAGTAGGCCCTGTAGAGTCCAACATGCCATAGTTGAAGGCCAACTCTACAAAACTTTAATCCCCGGGTTGAAACAGACTCACCACAGTGAATTCTGGTCATTCTTGTGGTTTCTCCAATATACTCCATTCTCTGACTGTTCTCTCTTTGCTGTTCCCTTTGCCTGTGATACTTTTTCTCAAGCATCACTAGACTCAGGCCAGATGATTCATCCTTCAGGTCTCTGTTTAAAAAATCAGTCCCTCCAGAAGTCCTTCCCTGACCACCTGGATCAGACTAACCTCCCCGCTGCTCCCCTGAACCTCCCTTTCCATCATATTCTCTCAAGTGAGTGTGAGCAACATGTCTGTTTGCTTGTGCTGGTCCTTCACTGCTTACTGTGGTGCTGGGCACAGAAGTGTGTTTACTGAATGGCACTTCATTTAAATATCATCTGCTTTCTATTTGCTAGAACAAATTTAAACTTGGTGTATATACTTTCTTTCGGTTTACTTTCTTCTCTGCATACCTCTGATATATAATTTTACTTGGCATATAAAATTACATGGAGATACGAAATAAAGTTTGATATAAAATTCAGACTACAACTCAAATTGAAGACTGGAAATTGAAACATGTATTTTTTAGCCAATTCAGTTCTTTACGTTGGAGACCAATATAAGTAAACTTTATCCCATCCTAGCCCCAACAAGATGTTTCACCAATATTTGAGCTAAAAGAATGAAATTCTATCACTCATAATACAGTTCAGCAGACATATGGTGATGTGGCTATAACTGACATATTAATGGGATGTGAAGTTGTTCAATCTAAGTGATTCATGCTGAAAATAACAAGATAACAGAGTAGACAGCACTACAGATGGCACCATATTAGTCAAGTATGGAACTTTCAAGACCAAATGTTTAAAGGAGCACCTGGAGTTTTAGAAAATAAAACAAATCTATGATCCTGAATTGTGATGGTAATTCCAGACAAATGACTTCATTGATCAGCTTCTGTTGTAAAGGAGTAAGAAGTTGAATCTGTTTGAAAATTTGTTTTAGCTAATGGTAATAAATACACATCTATCAATAATGACTTTGAATGTAAATGGACTAAATGCTCTAATCAAAAGACATAGGGTGACAGAATGGATTTAAAAACAAAAACAAAAAACAAGACTCATCTATAATTTGCCTGCAAGAGACTCATTTTAGACCTAAAGACACCTTTCAGATTGAAAGTGAGGGCTTGGAGAAACATCTACCATGTACGTGGATATCAAAAGAAAGCTGGGGTGGCAGTACTTCTATTGGGCAAAATAGACTTTAAGACAAAGACTAACAAGAGACAAAGAGGGGCACTATATAATAAAAAAGGGGGCAATCCAACAAGAAGGTCTAACAATTGTAAATATTTATGCACCCAACCTAGGAGCACCCAAATACATAAAATGGTTAACAAACATAAAGGAATTAATCAGCAATAACACAATAATAGTAGGGGACATTAACAACCTACTTATATCCATGGACAGATCATCTAAACAGAACATCAACAAGGAAACAATGGCTTTGAATGACACACTGAACCAGATGAATATATTCAGAACATTCCATCCTAAAATAGCAGAATACACATTCTTTTCAAGTGCACATGGAACATTCTTCAGAATTGATCACATATTAGCCCACAAAACTAGCCTCAACAAATTCAAGAAGATTGAAGTCATACCATGCATCTTTTCTGACCACAACATTATGAAACTAGAAGACAACCACGAGAAAAAATCTGGAAAGACCACAAATGCATGGAGGTTAAATAACATGCTACTAAACAATGAATGGGCCAGCCAAATCAAAGAAGAAATTAGGGCGCCTGGGTGGCTCAGTTGGTTGAGCGACTGCCTTCGGCTCGGGTTATGATCCTGGAGTCCCAGGATCGAGTCCCATATCGGGCTCCTTGCTCAGCAGGGGGTCTGCTTCTCCCTCTGACCCTCCCCCCTCTCATGTGCTCTCTCTCTCTCAAATAAATAAATAAAATCTTTTTTTTAAAAAAAAGAGGAAATTAAAAAGTACATGGAAACAAATGAAAATGA